GACTGGAGGCTTAAGAACAGTGTGTTGGTACTTGGGAGTAGTTGAGTGAGTCAGGTTGGAGAAGGTTGAGGTTATGGATGAGAGTTATTGAGTTTCATAGGCGGAGCAGTCTTAGATCATGACAAGATCCAGGTGTGGCCCTGCCAGTGGGTGGCTGATGCAGAGTGTCAGTAAAGGCTGAGGGACCCAGCAGAGCAGCAGACACTACATGAAGAGGCAGGGTGGGGTAGTGGTGATGGTCTGACAGCCCAGGCAAGGGTATACAGGAGGACCCGGGATTTGCATTCAGAAAACTCTTACTCAGGCCAGTGTGAAAGTTAACTTGCCTCATTAAGTCTCATTTGCCCATCTGCCGAAGGCTATAATAATAGCGCCAACTTCATGGGATTGTTGTGAAAATTAAATGAGCTCATATATGTGGGGTGCTGAGCACAATGCCTGGCACATAAAACACACTGGATAAATAACAGCTATAAAATGATGACTGCTATTGTTGAGATCTAGGCTTCCACTAGGAATTCACAACATATGAAAGATACTGCTAAGATGAAAAATAAAGCCTTTTTTGTGGAAACAGCATAGATTTTTGGAATCAAATAAATTTGTGTTTGCATTCCAACTCTGCTGCTTACTAGCTCTGTGACTTGAGGCAAGTCATTTAATCTGTCTGAAGTTAACAATGATCCTGTGTTGTTAGTATCTTCATTCCCCAAAACGTAGTAAGGGCCTACCTGCTAAGCACCAGGCATTGTCCCAGGTGTTGGAGATAAAGAGATTTGAAAAAAGACACTCTCCTTGTGGTCACAGTACAGCTGGGGAGACAGGGAGAGACAATTGGGAAAGCTAAGAGTTCTGGCAAAGCAAAGTGTGAAGTAAGCAGGTAAATCCTGATTTAGGCTGGGGAGAAGTCTGGCCTTGATGAAGCCATTAGCTCATTCCCTCCTTTTTTTTGTGGTGAGGAAGAGTCGCCCTGAGCTAACATCTGTTGCCAACCTTCCTTGCGTTTTTTTTTTGTTTGTTTTGTTTTTTTGCTTGAGGAAGATTAGCCCTGAGCTAACATCTGTGCCAATCTTCCTCTATTTTGTATGTGGGTCACTGCCACGGCATGGCTGACAAGTGGAGCATGTCCGTGCCCGGGATCTGAACCTGCAAACCCAGGCCGCCGAAGCGGAGAGCAGGGAACTTTAACCACTTGGCCATGCGGCTGGCCCCTCATTCTTTCCTTTTTAAGGCAAAAAAAAAAAAAAAAAAGGAATTTAGTACACAGTTCCCACTTTTTTACAATAATGGAGTTTTAGAAACTATTTTGGAAAGCAGAATGGTGAAAATTAGATCTTTTCGAATTCCCACGGACTGAGCATCTGCAGGTGGACATTTCCCACTGTGAAAGATCACAGAATGGGAGCTCAGATCACAGCAGCAGCACAGAGGCACCTTTGGTAAGGTGCTCAGGTCCTCAGTCTCCCCACCTATAATACAGTGATACTAATAGTAACTACTTCACAGAGGATTAGTGTGAGGATCAAGTGAGCTAATTCGTGCAAAATGCTGAGGACAGTGTCGGGCACATAGTAGGCGGTCAGTATATGTTTGTTATCACTGTTCTGTAAATGATGATCGTATCAAGATAGGGCACAATATCTTCCTCGCCTGTGCAGGAACCCTCAGAAACTGGTGAATGGGTGGGTCAGGGCAACAAAAAGTAAACTAGAAATCAGTTTTAGAACAAGTAGATTTGCAAAATGTCAGGGCAAAAAATGAGAAACTTCTTGTCAACACAGCTAAAATTCAAGGTTAAACAGATTTACCACAAGGTCTTGAATGTAATATCTACACCACAAATATTGGTTGATTTCTTAAGTACTTGCTTTACAAAACAAAGGCCCAAGGGAATGCCTTATTTACTAGTTCTTTTCCTCTTTTTCCTCTAATAGTTAAAAAGAGAGAAACCCCGATTTTCCCTCTCCTGTCTAAGCCTGAGCCAACCTCGCAGCGTGGTGAGTGGCAGCTCTCCAGTTACCTGCTGCGAAAGCCCCCAAGCTCCTGGGCTGCAGGTTGTAACTCGCATCTCAGTCCTTCTCTCTCACCTTTCTCAGGAAGATTTTCCACGGGAAGATAAAGGCATTTCTCCTCTCGAGCTCTCTTTTCTAAGAATCCTCTCTCCTCACCTTTATTGCAGAAGTCAAAAGAGAGAGATTAGTGTGAATAGAAGTCAGAAGGGAGAAGAGCCCACAGGAGTTTTTCTCTATAGTCCTCTGGGAAGCTACTAGCATTTTCTTCCAATCAGATGTCTCCAGCACAATTTAACTGGTTTTGGAACTTTAGAGAAAGTCCTCACCTCTTCCCTGTTAATACCCCATCCTTCAACTCCTTAGGGGCTTTCTCCTCTCTGAAATTTGAGCTTAAATTTAATATATAACGTTCTCATGGAAACTGTGAGCCTTCTCTTTTTCTGCCCGCCTTGGCTCTGTTTAAAAAGCTAGATTCAAGCTATCATCAGAACATGCCTTTTAAAAACAAAATTTACCAGGTTATACAAGAGAGATAAAGTGAAGAATGGATGCCCAGGAACCTGGGCACATTGCAAACCCTTATTTGTTATAACCTGAATGTGGTGAGACGGTTATTAGGTAATATTAAGACCAGAGCACCCACCTCTAGTAATCAGTCCAGGGGCCATGACAAAAGTTTTTTCTACACTAAATAAGAGCAAAAGGACAGTAGTAAGGTTTTTCATCAAGCAAATGATTTAAATATAAAAATATATCCTTTATGACTTTTTTTTAAAAGAATGATAGTGATAATAGATAGCAAATGTTGTGTGCGTTAGTTTTTAAAGTACTTTCTCGGTAAAACTAAAAAGCTGGTAATCCTAAATTGGTTCTCCTTATTTTATTTGTTTACTTTATTGGGCTGTGAAAATCACAAGACTTACTGGACTAAAACCTACTGCTTCTCCAGCTGAGAAGGCCCTCCTGAAACCTCAGGGGAAGTACCCCTAAGAAAGAACTTCCCTCGTTTTAAAGAGGGCCTTCTGGAGTAGCATTTTCTATTTTTAACCTTGTTTTTTATTATTGGGGTAAAATAACATCAATTTCAATTTACCATCTTAACCATTTTTAGGTGTACAGGTCAGTGGCATTAAGCACATTCACATTGTTGTGCAACTTTCACCACCATCCATCTCCAGAACTTTACCTTCCCAAACTGAAACTCTGTATTCATTAACACTATTAACATTCATTAACACCTATTCCCCCTCCCCTTAGCCTCTGGCAATCGCCATTCTTTCTTCCTTTTTTGTTTTGTGAGGAAGATCAGCCCTGAGCTAACATCCATGCCAATCCTCCTCTTTTTGCTGAGGAAGACTGGCCCTGAGCTAACATCCATGCCCATCTTTCTCTGCTTTATGTGGGACGCCACCACAGTATGGCCTGACCAGCGGTGCATCAGTGCGCGCCCAGGGTCGGAGCCCCAGGCCACCAGCAGTGCAGCGCGCGCACTTAACCGCTACCAGGGCCGGCCCACCATTCTACTTTCCGTCTCTATGAATTTCACTACTCTAGGTACCTCGTATAAGTGCAATCATACAGGATTTTCTCTGTGTCTGGTTTATTTCGCTCAGCATAATGTCTTCAAAGTTCATTCGCATTGTGGTGTCAGAATTATATTCGTCTTAAAGGCGTTTTTAACCTTTTTGACAACTCTGTTTGTATTGAAGCTCTTTCAACAATAGGATGGCTGGTAAAAAGGCAAGTCTTGCCAGCTTTCTGTATTTACTCATCTGTAAAATGGTTCTGAGTTCTGTACTATCATTTAAACATATCCAAGCGGGTGTCACAAACCCACGGGATCTAGGGACGTGAGTGGTAAAGCAAACTGGAGACAGGCTATGGTGAAGCACAGAAACCTGCTCTCTTGTAAAAGTGGCCACTGCTACTCACTTCCAATCCATATTTCCAATATGTAATGTAGACCCAGTATTGCATGTAAAAATCTCCTGATTTTCATGCATTAGTCAATGCTGTTGGGTCAAACAGAACATATTTGCAGGCCAGACCTTGCCCACAGGCCATCAGTCAGCAGTCTTTGCTGGGGCTTAATAAAGAGCTGGTTTTAGTGTGGTTTCATTCATTCATTCATGCAATAAAGGTTTACTGGGTTTCTCCTACAGCCTAGGCTACACATATAAGCAGGATATGGTTTAAAAAATATATGATAGGAGAGACATAAATAGTTGCAGCATAAATCCTGTAACAGAGCAAAAATAATGATCATCATTTATTGGGCACTTCCTATGTGCCATGAAGTTTTTAAGAACTTTACATGTATTCACTCATTTAAGCCTCACAACAACTCTATGAAGTAGGCACTATTATTGTCTCCATTTTACATATGAAAAGACAAGCACAGACCGGTCAAATCACTTGCCAGGTGTCACACAGCTGGAAAGTGCTGAGGCAGGATTTGAACCTAGATTGGTTCCAGAGCCCAAGGTCTTGACTGGAAGAGGGGCACGAAGTGGGGTGGTATAGGGTTAACCTGTGGACCTATAAAGACTTTCAGAAGAGGTAACTTTTAACTTGTCTTGACAGATGATTTCAGCAAACACGACCGCAGGGCAATCCAGGCAGAGAAAATAATTTGAGCCAGTGATCGAACACTCGGATTGGCAGGAAATGAGTCTGAAGAGGTCGTAGGGTCTCCAATGCCATCTACTCAACCGTTTGTTTTCAGGTGAGGTATCAGCTCATCGACAGCTTAACTCTCAGTACTAACCGCGAGAGTAAGAAAGGTGTAGAAGCAGAGGGGCGTTTACAAGTTCCAGAGAGCAAAGCGCGCCCTGAGTTCTTCCGCACGAGCCCCTTCGCCGCCCTGCCCACGACCACCTTCAGGGACTACAAATCCCGTCATGCAGCCGGGGCGCGCTGGAGTCCCCGTGGCTGGTCCCTCCCTCCGCAGGCCCCGCCCCTGGCCCCGCCCCTCCCTCCCGCAGCCCCCTCCCACCCGGTCAGCCCCGAAGAGTTGCCCGGTGGCCGCGGCAGACGGAAGCCGAGCGAGAGCCTCGGCAGCGGCGGGATGGGGGACTCCAAAGTGAAAGTGGCCGTCCGGATCCGGCCCATGAACCGAAGAGGTGAGAGCCGAGCCCGCCCGGGGCCGCCGCGGCAGAGGCGGCAGGTGCCTGGCGCGCCCTTCCCTTCGCCCCGGCCGCCGTGTGGGGTCCGGCCGGCCCCGCCCCTGGAGTCCGCGTTGGGTCGAGAGGGCGGCCCGCGCACCCCGAAACCCTGTCCCGCGCGCCCGCCCCGCCTGCGCGGGACGCCCCTCCCCTCTCCCGCACCGCGTCCTGGGGCGCCGCGGGCCCCACGTCCCGGCCCGCTGCCCCTTCCGCTGGCGCGCCCGCCCCGCCCCGCGCCCTTTCGCCCTTTCGCCCTCTCGCCTCCCCTGCCCTTCCAGGAGGGCGCCCTCGTCCCTTGCCCCGGCTCGCTTCCTCCTCCTCCCACTCCTGCCCCTCGTCCCGTGCCTCCGCGTCCCCCGCTCCCTCCTCGCCAGCTGTCAGAGCAGCCCCCGCCCCGTGGGTCCTCACCCTTCTGGCCCGACCGGCACAGGCAGGGACCCCGAGGCCCCACGGCTCTGCCCCCGTCGCCCCAACCCTGCACTTCTGTGGCCCGCAGCAGGAAAAATGGCAGGGAGTTTGGGTTACTCCTCCTGAGAAAGCACTTAAGTGCAGAAATCCCTCATCTTGGTTTTTCACTTTATGTTCCTTTAACCTAGACGGTCATAAAGAGTTATAAATACTTTGAAGTTGTGTAGAAGAGATGAACCTCACCCCCCTCCCCGCTTTTTTTGACTGTTGAGAAAGTTTTGTTTTTGCTTTAAGTCATACTCGTCATCCCTCAACAATAAATACTTTAAGTGCCAAGATTCTTGTGAAATTGTATCTTTCAGACATTCTCTCCATTCTGCAGGGAGGGTAGAGAAAGCAGATAAACCGAGTACATTTTAAATCCTCTTTAGACAGTCAAATGGAATGGAGAGAGCCCCAACTTGAAGTCCGACGAGAAGGTGGGCTGGGCCTTGGCTCTAATACTTAACTAGCAGTGTGAGGGGGCAAGTTACTTTAAATGAGATAATATATTTGAAAACACTTTCTCTACAAGGTTATATTATTGGGGTCATTATTATAGTCCCAGGAGATGACTTTTCGGTTGATAGAAGACTCTTAACTAGTCAGAATCATGTTTAAGTACCAGGATCATTTTCTAAGTCGTCTCCGTTCATAATCAAGTGTTAAGTGTATGTAGAAATTATGAGTTTTCTAATTTTTCTTTGCTGTCTTTTGTATATGTTGAAATATACAGATCAGTCAGTTGACTTGTGCTTTGTTAGTTTGTTTTTCTCTCTGAAGTTGGTTTCTCTCTTCCCTTGGGGTTACATGTTACATTGGAGTTGGTGATTCCTTCTGTCCTGCTAGGTCAGCTGAAGGCTGTCAGGTGACATAGAAGAGTTTTTCCCTAATAACTTAAACTAGTACACGTTTTGGGTCTTCAGTCTTTGCCTCACTAGTTTCATGCTCTTGACAAAATGAAAGAACTTAGATAAACTCTGAAAGTTTTCAAAAGCTTCTGTTCTTAAGTGTTCAGGCATCTTTATTTAAATTCACCTCAAGTTTATTACCATCACAATGATTAACAAAAATCCAAAAAACAAGCCTCATAAAACACTACTTATCTGGGGTTTGATTCTGAAAGGATGATTTCAGCACATTCTTAAAATTTCTTTTTCACAAAATCTTGGAAATGTCAGTGCTAAAAAGAGGCAGCTAACTAACCACCACAAAAGACCTATCTCAGATAATTAGAATCCTTACCTCTTCTGCTCCCCCCATGGGTTTCAGTTTTTTAGGGGAAGTACTATCCTTTTTACTTAAAAATTGCCATTAATTAGATTGTAATAGTTGTCGGTATCAGTTTCGAGGAGTGTATAGAATAATAATTTTAGCTGTAGTATGAATGTTAGCTGTTTCTTTGGCTGAACTCATTTTATTTATTTATTTTATTTATTTTTTTTCTATCAACCTTTTTATTTATTTATTTTTAATTTTTGTTTATTGCAGTAACATTGGTTTACAACATTGTAAAAATTTCAGGTGTACATCACTACACCTCCACTTCTGCACAGATTATATCATGTCCACCACCAAAACACCAGCTAAAACCCATCACCACACACATGTACCGAACCATCCCCTGCACCCCCCCCCCCGCAACCACCAATCCAATCTCTGTCCCTATGTGTTTGTTTATTGTTGTTATTATCTACTACTTAATGAAGGAAATCATACGGTATTTGACCTTCTCCCTCTGACTTATTTCACTTTGCATTATACCCTCAATGTCCATCCATGTTGTCACAAATGGCTGGATTTCATCGTTTCTTATGGCTGAGTAGTATTCCATTGTGTATATATACCACATCTTCTTTATCCATTCGTCCCTTGATGGGCGCTTAGGTTGCTTCCAAGTCTTGGCTATTGTGAATAACGCTGCAATGAACACAGGGGTGCATGTACCTTTACAAATTGGTGTTTTCAAGTTCTTTGGATAGATACCCAGCAGTGGAATAGCTGGATCATATGGTAGTTCTAACCTTGATTTTTTGAGGACTCTCCATACAGTTTTCCATAGTGGCTGCACCAGTTTGCACTCCCACCAGCAGTGTATGAGAGTTCCCTTCTCTCCACATCCTCTCCAACACATGTTGTTTCCTGTCTTGTTAATTATTGGCTGAACTCATTTTAAAATTAAGGTTTACACATAGATCCATTACCCTTTAAATAGAAGTGCATTATTTGTGGTAAACTACGTCCTCATTCGTTTAGTGCCGTCTCTTATCTAGCCTTATATTTCCTGAATGCACGTGGACTTCTTTTTTCAGTGATTACCACAGATAATTAAAATTGGTTCTATTTCTATTTTGTCATGAAGTAGTCATTTACATAAATGTAGAGGTTATTATGGAATACAATGTAGTGGAGCTATGAGCTGGTGATTTTTAAACTATCTGTCTGTCTATCTAGGGTTTGTTTAAAAAGGCTAAAACAGAACCATATTCCTTTCCAGTAATTTTGAAAAGAATTATATTACTTTGATCAATTATTACTTCTGGGAAAATTAATGTATTAAGCAATAGTATATAATTATGACAAATAGTAAACTTTTAGTCATAATTGTTTTTCTCTTAGCATATTAGTACAGGATGCAACCTCAGAGATCACTCTTCACAAATAAGTGTGAGATGAGAATGGGTCACTGGGATGATGTAGTATTACTGTATAGACTCTGATATTTGGAATCACGTTAACTACCTTTTGAGGAAAATCTGAAATTTGCAAGAAGGTTTTAGTGTACCATTAAGTTATTCATGTGATTCAGTATCTGATTGTGCTTAGGTGTTAAGGTAGTTAGTTGGTTTATTATTTAACATTTATCATGGAAGTGAGAGCTTTTCAGTATTTTTGCTAAATTATATGTGGGTTTGGGAAATTTAGTTACTTGAACATTAAGCATTAGGCCCTAATTCAATAATAACAAGAGTTGTAATGGCTAATGAATATGCTTTTGTCAGGAATATTTTCTTGTTATACATTTTAACATTATACAAATAGGCAATAAAAAGGGAAAACTCTCCAACATTCTTTCATCTTAACAATTCAGACTCTCATTTTCTTATTTCCATTCCAGTTTGTGTTCACATGCATATGTAATTTTACATAGTTTTAATATTACAGCTTGTATTTTTGCTTCTCTTCATCTGAAATGTGAACTTAAGCTAGAGAAAAAGGGGGAAACCTGTTTTGTCATGAGATCTTGAAGTTCTATTTGTGGATATTGTTTGTCTTGTCATGTTGTCTTTGAGGCTTGTACATCTCACCAGGTAACTCTGCTTGTGTTCTTCTATGTACTGTAAAGAACACTCGTTCATACATTATTAACCAATCTAATTATTAAATGAGCCGAAAGTTTCACAAGCATAATTGATGGTACTAGTTAGATCAGTGACACTCTCTCCTGTTCTGGGATTTGATGTTTTATAACTTTAGGTGGTTTAAAAAATATTTACTATTTATTGAGTGCCTGCCAGTTGTCTAGCTTGTATTAGATAGTATGGGATCTTATTGCCTTTCCTCAAGGGGCTTCTCATGTTTAAATATGTATAAGATCAACTACCAAAATAAATAAATATGTATAAAAAGTGTTTGGAAAATACCTTTGCTGTCTCCCTAGCCTAAGGTGATGAAACCAGAAATAACACTAGAAATTTAGCTAAAGAGAAAAACAGTGAAATGGGTTATTTCAGGTGTTAGGAAGCATGGACAATAAATTTATTTCAGCAGGTATTTCTCATTGGTTTGCTTTGCATTTTTACAATACTTGATGCAGTGAAAGACACCAAGAAAGACACAAAGAAGAATGTGATGTCTGATAGAAGTCAGTGCTTAAGTAAATCACGGTCTGGTATCTCAGTGGAAAGACTATTATATAGCCATTAAATATGATGAAAGTCAAAATCGTTTACTAAGAAAGACTGTTTTCTATGTTAGCAGAAAAAGCAGAATGTAAAATGGTGTATGTAATTGTGTGATTGAATCTACTATTATGATTATTGCTATGTAAAAATGTAAACAGGAATGGGCAAGGGCTAGAAAAAAACATGAAAAACTGAGATTGATTGTTCTTGCTGGGGGAATTTTATTTCCTGAAAACTTTCTGTTAGTGTTGTCTAGTATTGTAGTGTTCAGTTTTTTAAAGTGCGCTTTATGGTTCATGCTCATAAGGAAATGACTGTCATGTGAAAAGATAAGATTAAAAGGTAAACACCTATAGCAGATTGCTAGTTATGGAGTGCCAGGTTGAGTGACAGGGAAATACAGGAGTTTAGAGGTGTGAGAGATCCCTGCAAGCCTCGTGATTAGGGAAGGCTTCCCTGGGGCCCGAGAACTTTGGTTAGACTTGGAGGAAGGAAGCTTTGGATTGGAATGGATGCATGGTGGGAGGGCAGGGGGAACATTGGTTCTTTGAGGAGGAAGTATGGCCTGAGAGTGAAGGCACAGAGACACGAATGAGCCAGGCAAGT